GGAGGAGGAGGAGGAGGAGGAGGAGGAGGGGGACAAGGATGATGGAGTACACCTTTCCGTCCCAAGTCCCCTCCTCAGAGGTCCTTGCAAGAGTTCTGGCATGGCAAGAAGTGCCACCTCGAAAGATCAGCACCCCACGAGCTTGCCGTTCTGGCGAGAGCCCCGTTCTGAAAAGGAAGTGGTGGGGAATGCGAGAAGGTATAGCGAGATCCTCGTTTCATCAACGAGGAATCAGGCAGTTCAGCGAGGGGTGCAGCGAGTTCCTCGTTTTGAGCAAGGACCGCCCCATCTGTGTAGTGTTGTACGAGTTCACACTCACGGTCATACATTCAGATGGAATTCTCAACATGGAGAGTTCCGGTGTGAGCAGGAACCGCCCTGCAACAGCGCAGCTGTATGCTCAAGCTCCTGCTCTTCAGGTTTAAACAGGGTCTCAAACGAGAGCCCCATTTTGAAAAGGCACCATTATTTATCCTTGGAGCTGGTGCAGGCCTTCAAGACGAGTGTGCGCGGCGCTTAGGCGAGAGACCGATTCTGAAAAGGAACCGCCCTCCAGCCTTGTAACGACCGCAATCTTCAAAGACGAACGCGCGCAAGGCCAAACCGAGAGGTACCTTTGGATAGCGAGACCTTCACCGTCCTTGAAATTATTGCAATATTTTAAACCGAGCGCTATTGACGCTAAAGCGAGAGCTCCATTTTGAAGACGGCTCCCTTCCATCCATGTAGTTGTGGTGGATCTCGCGCTTCAGGATCCCAGGCGGTGAGGAAGTCCCAGGCGAAAAGCCCCGTCCACCCTGCCGGCACGTCTGGTGCTGCGACAGGGAGGCGTTATTTACAAGGAAGAGTCGAGTCGGGGATCGACTACAGGATTGATTTCTTCGCCGAAGCTTTAAACAATGCCATTCTCATGGGGGAGGGTGGGAATTCGAAGAGGAAATCAAGTTTGGGCTACATCCATTCTGCAGTCGGTCCCCGACCGGAAAGAGGGAGGGAGGCTGGAGGAGGGAGGAGGGAGGAGGCGATAGAAGGCGGAAGTAGGAGGGAGGACGCATCAAGAGAGGGAGCAGGGCCGCCTAGGGGGAAAGTGGCCTTCCTCCGAGAGGCTTCATCTTCGTGTATGACGCCACCAGCAGGCCCCCCGGCCCGCCCATCTCCGCGCCCCTATCTTGGGACGCTCTTCTTCCCCCTCATCCTCCTGTTCCTTCCTCCTCCTCCTTCTCCTCCTTCCCCTCCTTCCCTCCTCCTCCTCCTCCTCCTGGTCCTTCCTCCTCCTCCTCCTCCTCCTTCAAGCTTCCCCCGTCATGCGCCGCCCTTTTCCTTCCTCTTCCTCCTCGGAATCCACAACGACCTCGTCGCGCCCCCTTGTCTAGGCCTGGGCTTCGGGGCGTTTCACTTTTCAGGCCCATGGGGCGCCTGTGTTACCAGTTTCTGCATCAACGTTTGTTTTTCTCTTTTGGAGGCCTGCCTCAGCACATGAAGCCCTCGGTCTCGGAGAAGCTGGGGGCTCAGTGTCGAGGAGCGTCTGGACGCCATTGTGAGTGATGTGCGCAGCCTTTCTTCGAACGGGATAACTGTTCCCGTGCCCTTTCGCGGCGTTGGCGGCATCATCAGCGACAGTACCGCCGTCGTCAATACCACGGTGCCCCGTTCGGCGCCATGCTGCCTCCTTCGGGGGGGCCGCCCTGCTGTGGAGTTCACCCTGCCTGGCCTGCGTCTGTTCGAAGCTTGCGCGCCAGGGGCCCTGGCGATCCGACGCGAGAGTTTCGACCCGCGTCAACTCCACGGAGCGAGCTTTCCATCGCTGGTTTTCGCCAGCGCGCTGCGATTTTCCTGCGGCTCACATTTTGCGTCGTGCGAGCGAGGTGAGTCATACAGTCGGGGCCCCGAAGAAGGATGCCTTTTCGTTGGGGAGGGGCTCCGCGTTCCCTGAGTGTCTCACAGTTTGCCTCAGGTTTTCCTGAGGTTTTCCATGGGAAATCGAAGTTCAACGTATGGGAGAAAGGGGCCTTGTTCTTTATTTGGGGTTCCTTAGGTCAAGGCCCCGACTGTACCCGCGCTGGTCCAGTGTGCCACTGACAAAACCCGCGTGACGCACTCTTACTCCGCATGGTTGCTCGTGGGGTGGGCATGGGAGAGCAGGGCTCGACCTAAACGGTGCTCTGACGATGACTTGGGCCGTTTGCGTTTTGACGTCGTTTTGCAGCAAAGGCGGACTGAAGACAAAACGAGGGAAAGCGAAAACACACCGAAAACCAAAAGCATTGCTTAGGGCGTTCCCTGTGAGAGGCCGGGCATTGCGGTGTCATGGCTGCCGCGAGGCCCGTTTCCCGCTCACGAGTGCGCATGCGCGTCCCAGGCGCCCTGCCAGCTGTGCCATGCCGGAGCGTTTCGGGCACTTCTCTGGGCCTCCTCGGGCACGGTCTGGGCTCCCGGAGGGTTCCCAAAGAACACGGTGCAACTTGCTTCCGGCTCCCTGGGGGGCCATCCTGCCTTTGAGCCCGCTTTAGAGTCTTCTGCCCTTGCGGCCGCTGCGATTCGCCACGGCCTGGACCAGGTTTCTCTCTTGCCGCTGCCCGCCTTGGCCCGAGCAGCTCGCAGGGCCTCCTTCGACCACGTCGAGCAGTGGCTGGGGCAAGTCCAGCAACACCACGAGCCCGGCGCTCGGACGAGGAGGAGAAAGGGTGGGAGGGTGAGTAGTAAGATGCGGATAGGGGGAGGTGGAGGAGGAAAAGGATGTTGATGGTGGCCAAAGGGAAGATGATGAGGAGGAGGAGGAGAACAAAGGCGATCAGGAGGAGGAGGAGGAGGAGTAGTGCGACGAGACGGATGAGGAACATGGGGGAGGGCGACGACGAGGATGAGCATGAGGAGGAGAAGTGGGATGATAAGTAGAAAAGGTTGATGGGCAGATGGGAACAGAGTAAACCCAGGACGCACCAACCATGCTGCAATACACCCCCGCCTCATGTCCCCTCATAATTCCCTACAGTCGCTCCTTTCCACTTTAGAGAACGCTCCCTTGAAAGACGTGCATCCGATGCCCGTGCCATTCTGGCGAGAGCCCCGCTTCGAAAAGGAGTTGTCTTGCCATTACCCTTCTGGCAAGTGATGATGAGCGCGGCAGTGTAGGGCCATCAAGTCCCACGAGCTGTTCAGCGAGGTCCGCGTTTGGAAAGCGTCCCCGGCGCTTTTCGATCCCTCCGGGCCCTCTGGGCGCTTCATCGCCGCCTCGGCGCTGCACCCGCCCAGAGCAACAGCCGGCCAGGCTGGACCCCATGGGAGGCTCCAGGATGGCGTCTGTGCGGCTTCTGGCGCCGGGCGGGAGAGCCGCCGTGGTCTCGTGCCAGAGGCGACGATAGGGGCGAGTAGCCCAGGGGAGAGCAGTGCACGTATTCAGGTGCCCCGATGGTCTATGTCTTCGAAGAGGCTCCCGGGCGAAGGCATGTCGTGCCCGCCCCGGGGCTATTCGCCCTTGTCGTCCCCGCCGGCCGGTCATGCGGTCCTGCGAGCAGGGGTCGGGGGCAGGAGAGCTCGCAGCCGTGGGCTCGGTTCTGGCCCCGCGGGCGAGCACCCGACTGCGTCGCTGGCGCGGCGAGGGGGTGCGGAGCGGCGCCCGCGGCGTGCCTCTTCGGGGAGCTCGAGGCGGCCCGGGCGGTGCCGATCCCCCCCGCCCTTCGTGGGCCCTGGAAACGACAGGGCCGTTTTTTTACCGGTTCCGTTTTGCCGTTTTTTTGCCAGTTCCGACGCCGTTTTTTTTACCAGTTCCGTCGCCGTTGTTTGACCGGTTCCGGCTCCGGTTCCAATCCTGGAGCCGTTTTTGTTGCTGTTTGCGGTCGCCTTTTTTTGCCGTTTCCATTTTCAAGGGACATGTTTTGGGGGACGGTGAAAAAACGGCCCTGCCGTTTCCGGGGCCCACAAAGCCCCCGCCCTTTCGTCTGCTGCTGGGCGACGACCTCTTCAGATTGCCACGGCAACCCGAAGCCTTGGTGCCGCAGGATCGCGTGTGGATCCTGCACCCCAGAGCTCGCGTCTTCACGTGTGCTTCTCGCTCTCCTCCTCCCGGTCCCCGTGCTCTGCCCACCCGTTTCCCCCCCCCCCCCCCCTTCTCGTCCGCCGCCGGCAGGGGTTGGCCGGATCCCTGGATCGTGGCTGCTTCTTTTTCCGGACCATGTGTAGTTTGGCAGCCATTCCCGGCCGTGCAGGTTGGGCTCGGTTATTCAACATTTGTGTTCTCCGTCGCGTGCAGTCACGATACATGCACGGTCGGAGTCGGGGATTCAGCATCAACGTAACATCGGGAGTTGGATGCCAGGAAACACCAGTTCATGCAGGTATGGTTCGCATCCGGCCTTGCATGTGCGCGTGTCCACTCGGTTTGCTGTCGGTTTTGGGCGCGCTCCTCCCCCGTCTCGTCCTGACTTACCAGCCTGGAACATATCCCTATCCCTAAGACTGACGCGCCAAAAGGCGATGACAATCTTAGGGATTCGCCCTGGAAAACTAAGGGACTCCCCAGGATTGGCATCGTGATGAGGAGGTGCCCAGCATAGGGATAGGAATCTGTTCCAGGCTGGTAACTGACCGAGGTGCGGCCCCACCACCATCAAGATCTTGATCGGCAACAAGATTGACATGACCAACGAGCTGCAGGTCACCGAGGAAGAGGGCAGGGCGAAGGCACCGCGAGCCTCCCCCATCCCTCACCGGTTTAGCAGACGGAGCGATGATTGAAAGATGAACCAGGGAGGAGGAGGAGGAGGAGGAGGAGGAGGAGGAGGAGGAGGAGGAAGAGGAGGAGGAGGCGGAGGAGGCGGAGGAGGAGGAGGAGGAGGGGAGGAGCTTCCCTCTCCTTCCCCGGTTCGGCCATCGGGGACGGCTGCCCCAGGGACGCTTATGTCCCAACGTCCCGCCGTAGGGGCATGAGCCTTTCCTCTCCTCCTCTCCTCCTCCTCCTCCCTCCTCCTCTCCTCCTCCTCCTCCTCCCCTCCTCCTCCCCCTCCCCTCCCCTCCTCCCCCTCCCTCCTCCTCCTCCTCCTCCTCCTCCTCCTCCTCCTCCTCGGACAGGCGTCTTCGATGGTGGAGAGCATGCTGCCCAAACAGGGTACTTCCCCTGATGGGGTTCTGCTCGGGTCTGCCGTGGTTTCGCCCAGTGCTCGGTTGGTGCCCCGTGGTGGTCGCCCCGAGGGCCCCCCCGCGCTTTCGCTGGGTGCGCTGGTTGGACCCGCCAGGGCTTCGCTCGGTGCCCGCTCGTGGGCGCTTGGTGGACGCCGCGTAGCTTGGACGCTCAGCATGCGCCACACAGGTTGGACCGCACAGCTCTCACCACAGAGTGATCGCAGCATTGTATTTGTCACCACTGAGCTCACATCACACACTTTGAAAGCCTCACGGCCGGTGCCGCCGACCCTGAAGACGACGACGACGACGAGGACGAGGAGGAGGAGGAGGAGGAGGAAGAGGAGGAGGAGGAGGAGGAGGAGGAGGAGGGAAGGAGCAGAAGGAGGAGGCGGAGAAGGCGGTGGAGCAGCAGGAGGGGGAGGAAGAGGATGCGGTGGAGCAGCAGGAGGGGGAGTAGTGGCAGGGGGAGGACGGGGGAGGGAAGAAGCAGTAGGAGGACGAGGAATTTAGAAGTCGGAGGAGCAGGAGAAGAAGGAGGACGCGGAGGCAAAGGCAAAGCTCAAATTCACGCGGCCTGGCGCTTTCGCACAGCCGCTCAGGATGCAGGGGGAGGGGGAAGGGGGGAGGGGGGGGGGGCAGGAAAGGAAAAGAGAGCGCGGGCCTGGCTGCTGCGCTCAGCCTCTTTCTGCTTCAGCCACATGGCCACAGTCGCCGCCATGTGGCTGAGGACCGTACCGACCTTCTGGTCGATGTCCCTGACACGGCGCACTGTGGCCGCCGGGAGCGCGTGGCCGTCCAGGCCGCGCTCGGCAGCGGTGTCAGCGTCCGCGCTAGCCTGCAGCCATGCGTCGGCCCAGCAGGCTTGCTGGCGGGCGCGCCGAAGCCGGCGCACGGCCTTCGCCGGCTCCAGGTCGTCGATGTGGCTCGGGACCCAGACGACGTCCCACTTGTCTTAAGTCGGGCCTGTCCCTCTACAGGGGAAATGTTCAAACAAAAATTGTCAAAAAATAGTATGGGGACTATGTTTTGACCATTTGTGGGCATTGTCGGGGCATTTTTGGTGCATCTGTTTTAATTTCTTCGTCGAAGATCCCCCTGAAGGGGACACGCCCGACCTAACACTTGTCCAGGGCTGGGTTGGCGAGCTGTGCGATCCAGCGCCAGAGGTCGGATGCCTCCCCAGCTGCGCAGGCTGCCGCAGCACTTCGAGGGCGGCGCAAGCCTCGGAGCATTGCCCCGTTGTCCAGCAGCAGCAGCACACCCTGCTCGGCCAGGTCCGCGTGCTGCAGCGTAAGCATTAAGTCGGGCCTGTCCCTCTACAGGGGGGATATTCAAAGATAGTCAAACAATAGTCTGGGGACTATTTTTATATATTTTTGAGGGTATGTTTCATTTGTCATGTTGGGAGCATTTTGGGTGTATTTTTGGTACATTTTTGGGGCATAATTAATTTTTGGGGTTTTATTTCTTCTTGTGAGTATTTTTAGGTGTATTTTTCTTTTTTCGTAGAAGATCCTCCTGTAGGGGGACACGCCCGACTTAACGCAAGCAAGACAGCATAGACCTCCGCCCTGTAGACCGTCTGATCTGGGCCCGGCAGGGCGCCCCAGACGGTCAGGTTCCCGCCGGCGCCGACCACTCCCCACGCCGCGCGGCGAAGGCGGGGGTCGCCCGGATGGGCCGCCGTGCCGTCGGTAGCCACCGGTCCGGCGAGGCGCGGGCGGTCTGGCCGCTGCCACCACGCGTCTGGGCGCCTTCTTGGCCTCGGGACATGCCCGACAGGGAAGCGAATGGCGCTTCCGCGGGCGCGAGGCCGCGGCAGAGGAGGGCGATCGTGGCGCACTGCACGCGACAATCGGCGAATTCCTGCCGCGCCGGACAGGCGAAGAAGCGGTGGACCTCGTCCGCGTTCGGCGTCCCGCAGCGGTCGCACCTGCCGTCGGACCGGCCCTGCCTGGCAGCCCGCGCTGGGGCGCTGCTTGCGCCGGTGAGCGCGCACCGCGGTGCGCCTGCCGGAGCACTCCACAGCTGCCTTCAGCGGGCGCTATGCGACGGTCAGGTCGGCCCCGTGCTCGACGCCTCGCGGCCGCCCCTGTGCAGCTTGCCTCCACAGTGTGCGCAGGGCTGCCTCCGCCGCCTCCCTGGCCATGCGCTCCGTGGGCTCGGCTGTCAGGTCGAGTGGAGCACCGTCTGCGAGCCGCCACAGGGCGGGCCCCTCCAGCCTCCACCCCAGCTCGCACGCAGCCTGCACGACGGCCGCCACGGGGCCGCGCACCCACGACGCCGTCAGCCGACCCTGGTGGCACCTCGCAGCCGCGGCCGTTGGCGCGTCCGTGAGCTCCCCGCGCCAGACGCGGCGCGACCACTGGCAGAGCAGACGCACGGGCACCGCCACCGCTGGTCGGCGGCGTCCCCCAGGAGGGCCAGCGTGCCGGTGAGGCACCTCCGCCCTCTGCGGGGCCCTGCCGTAGCCTGCGCCATGGCGCCCCGGTGGCTTTCGCCGTCTCAGCTCTCTACGCCGAGTGCCAGGCGGCGTCCAGTGCTCCTCTGCCTGGCCCGGAGCCCCACGCCCAGGTGTATCGCTTCCCCTCTGCCCAGGTCTGCACGACTGGCTATCTGGCTGTGGCCCAGAGGCGGTAGAGCCGCGGCTGCAGGCCCCGACCCCATTTGGTAACCAGCGCCTCGACCGTGCCGCGCACGTACTCCGGGTAGCCGCCCTCGCTCTCGACCAAGAAGTACGCCTCCGACAGCCCGTGGAAAGCGTCCAAGGGCAGAAGTCGCAGCTCATCGCGCTGGGCCGTTGCCGCTGCCCGTCTGCTGCGTGGCCAGCCTCCAGAGGTCCTCCGCCGTCAGGGGCGGCAGTTCGCTGTCGTCGAAGCCGTCCAGCGGGGCGCTCGCGGCGGCGGCTGCCTCGACGCGCTGCTCGAGTGGCCAGGCGGCGTCCGGGGAATGCAATGCCGTTGCCCACTCGCCCACGGCAGCGTCGGCGAGCCGGGCAGGCTCGAGGGACAACTCGCCTTGGACGTGCGCTGCCGTGGGCCCCGCTGACTGCTCATCCCGAGGCATTGTGGCACCAGGCACTCCAGCTCTTGGAATCGGCCTCCCTGCGGTCCTCGGCGAGGGTGGAGCCGCGCGCCAGCGCCTCCCTGGCCCGTGCGCGAAGCGCCGAGGGCGAAGCCCCAGCGAGCCCTGCAAACCGAGAGCTCCGGCGGCCACTCTCGTGGAGGTTGGTGCCCAGCCTCGCGGGTGCACGTGGTCGCGGAGTCGCCCCAGCAAGCGGCGCCTGGCTCAAAAGCTGGGCGAGGGCTTCTAAAACCGTGGCTGCTAAAACGGCCCTCCGGAAGGAAAAAACAACTTCCCGGAATGAGGCGCGGCACGCGAAACAGTCAACGGGCTTCTTCCCGGAAGGACGAAGACAACTTCCCGGAGGTCGATTTTAGCAGCCACGGATTTAGCAGCCCTTGCCCGGCTTCCGACTGGCATTACCAGCCTCGAGCGTATCCCTATCCCTAAGATTGACACGCCAAAAGGCGATGACAACCTCAAGGATCCGCCCTCAAAAATCAGGGGACCCCTACGGTTGGCATCGTGACGAGGAGGTGCCCGGCTTAGGGATAGGGATATGTTCCAGGCTGGTAATAGCAGCGCAGCCTTCCGTGCAGGGGCGAGCGCGTGCAGCTTCCCCCCGGAGCGTCGTCCGGCGGGCTGCCAGGGCGCCGGCGTCTCGGCCGGTGTGGTTGTCCACGCGCGCCCGAGGCCAGCGCCCGAGGGCGCGGAGGAGGAGGAGGAGGAGGGGGAGGAGGAGGAGGAGGAGGGGGGGGGAGGAGGAGGAGGACAGGGAGGAGGAGGAGGAGGAGGAGGAGGAGGAAGAGGAGGAGGAGGAGGAGGGACAGGAGGAGGAGGGACAGGAGGAGGAGGAGGAGGAGGGACAGGAGGAGGAGGGACAGGAGGAGGAGGAGGAGGAGGAGGAGGAAGATGGGATGGACGAGGTCGATAAGGTTGCGGAGCACACGGGGGAAGAGCTCGCGGTGGAGGGGGGGAGCATTTGGACCGCATAGCTCTCACCACATCATTTTCGCAGCACTGCAGGCGTCACCACATAGTTCTCATCACATTGTTATTACATCACACCTTTCACACATTTGCTGTTATTGTATATCACTGACGCCACATTGATTGCATCACACGCCGTACCCACATGGTTTGCACCGCATAGCATACACCCCCTAGCTTACACGGTATGGCTTATGTAGAACATATAGCTTACACTACACATTTCATTGCATAGTTGCACCACCTAGCTCCTACCACAAAGCTTGCTTCGCACAGCTTACACAACATAGCTTGCACCACAGATCTCTACCTCCACGTATACATATACAATAGTTGACACATAGTTAGCTTACTCCCCATGTACTGTCCCTCATATCCGACACATCCACTGCGTAATACTTTCTGTTCAGAGGTCCACGCTGGAAACATTGCATACCGTTCTTCGTCCGCTTCGCAACGTCTCCTCATCCTTGTGATCGAGAGGCCACCGCAGCTCTCGCCACAGCGTCCGTCACCTCACCAGACGGGGAGCCCCTCGATGTGCAGCGGTTCGGCCCGTGAGGATGAGGATGTGTGGAGGAGGGAGTGCGACAGTGAGACACTTGTGCGTTACCTCGCTGATAGGCGTCCGTCTTGAACCCACTCTTGTTGTTTGTCATTGCGCTCTTTCTCGTAGAGCATGGTATTGAGGTCTGAGAGTGTGCGGGCAAGTATCCGACTGCCAGCCTGTTGCCACATGTTGCAATTCGCATTGACGAGGTCGAATGATCATCATGATGCGATCGAATCGAGTTCATAGTCAGAGAATTTGCATCTTGGAAGCATTGTGATACGATGTGTCAATAACACTGTCAGCTGCATCGCAGGTACAATACGCATGCGGCATGCATAATGTGTTATGTTGCATGCCATTTTCGAATCCGCTCGAGGCTGAGTCGATGGGAGCGTTCTTCATTGGCACCTCAGCGGGGGGCCTAGTATGACGGAATGTCCTTAGACTTGCGTAATGACATCATGGTTCGTTCTTGGGGTTGTTTTGGTGCGTGATAAATTGCTATGTGTTGTTCTCTATTGAACCTGTCCCAGTATACAGTCACAGTCGAACGCCACGCTTTGAATCCGAGGTCTCTCGCGCCTTCGCCTCTTCCCCCGCTGCTTGATATCCACGTCAATCTGACATCGCGCACGCTGTTCAGCGGTCCTCCGCCTGGCCAGCCTAGCCTGCTTGAAACGACGACGCTGCTTGGCTGATACTGGTTACGTCGCCATCTGGTCCTGGCTTTCACGCCGCGGGACGCTCTTTCCCGCACTTCTGCGTCCTCCTCCTCTAGTGCGAATGGAAACGGCGTCGGTGGGTGGTTGTGATGAGGCATCCGACCACGAAACATCAAGTTATCACGCCCAGATCGCTGTCATGGATGAGATGTGTGGTTGGCATCGACGATAAGGTTGACGCATATGTTGACAATGGCGATGACATCGGAAGCGACGGCGACGGAGATGACGTGGGTGATGCTGGCTCCGATTGTGCAGTGGCGATGCGCGTACAGATTGTGCACGGAGTGAGGCAATGGCATCACGTCATGCATACGTGGGCTGTGTGTGCCGCAAGCTTCAGCATGCCGTGCGCATTCGCGTGCGAAGCCGTGCGCGCCTGCGCCTCTTTTGGGGCGCCCGCGGAGGCTCCGGACACCTCCGCGTCTGCTCCTCCCGCCGCGGTCCCCTCTGCTCCATCTCCCTGTGCGGTGTCTGGCGGGCTGCCCGGCGGGGTCGCGCATGATGCCCAGGGCTTTGTTCAGGAGAGGAAACAAAACACACAGACACAATTCGTCGTCGATTCCCCAGAAGTGGGGGTGAAGACAAAAACACATGAAATGTAGGAAAATATGGGAAATCCTGTTATTTGTGTATATTTATTTGTGTGTCCCGTGGCCCCTTCAGATATGCTGTGGTGTCTGCGGCGGGTTCGCTCGGGGGAGCTGGAGCCGTGGAGGCGTCGGGAGCTCCACCGTTCAGGAGGAAGAGCGAGGCCAGCAGGCACCTTCTCTGGCGTCCTGTGTGGACGAACGGTGCTGCCGCGATGTCGGTCGTCCGGTCTGGCAATCGCCGCGATGCAGCCAAGACGCTGAAATAAGGAACAGTTTGGGTTCGGAAGGGGCTCGATGTTCCTTACGTCCTTCCGTGATTGTTCCTCTAGCCTTTCTCGTGCAACCAGGCTTTTGGAGCCACAGAAGGGCTTCGTTCCTTATTTAGCGTTCCTTATTTCAGCAGCCCGACTGTAGTCTGGGAATATACAGCCGCTTTCTTTATGTGGCCCGTTCCCCTCTTACCCTCATCTGGTGTCCGTTGCGGTGCCCTTGCGCCAAGCTAGTGATTCCTATTGAGCTCAAGTTAGAGTCACAGCCTACAGCCAAATGCAGAGGTAAGATAAGAGCAACACCAAGCGAGCCCAGCTAGGCTACAAACCTCCAGCAAAACCAAAGCAAAATCTAAGACTTGAATATAAAGCTAAAGCTTACCGTGAGTATTAAGCTGAAGCTGATTCCACATGAACGGAGCGAGCATGAACGAAAACGACCGCGCAGCCATTTGCATTTCCCCTCTCGCCGCCCCTCCCCTCCCTTTCCCCCCCTCCCTCATTCTCTTCATCCCTCCGTCCCCTTTCCTCCCGTCCCCCGCACCGCGGGATACTTGAATAACAGCCCATGCTCCCCAAGGGTATGTTTTCCCTCTCTCTCTCTCTTTGTTTGTTATTCCTTTCTTTGTCTCTCTCTCTCTCTCTCTTTGTCTGTCTCTCTCTCTCTCTCGATCCCTCTCACTCTATGTATAGACAGATTCACAAACATATGTAATGTCCAGAACCAGTCAAAACCATGATGACCCCCCTGGCCCCTCCCCTTCCTGGATCCCGAGTGTAATTGATTCGCCGACGCAAATTTTGTTGCGTGACGGTCCCTCATTGAAACTACGTGTTGTACCAGGAACGCTGCTATGTATGTCGGTAGTACATATATACTTGAATATTTCCTTATACTTGCAACATACATAAGTACTCGTGTGTGCTGGTAAGCGCGGCTCGATTTTACGCGTGCCCCGATGCATCCGCGGATTTCGTCGAGGTGTAAGGATTTCTCATCTCACTGGGACATTGTGTTTGCGCGCGCGTGCGAGAGCGCGCGTTGAGTGGCGTCTGGTCGTCGCGCTCGGGAGTGTTCAGTGCCAGATGGGCGCGCGCCTCGTTTCCGCGCGGCTTTCGATGCTGGATCACGCGTCAAGCGTTTGGCTTCCGTGTCCGCGCGTATGTTTTTCATGCGCAATGGAACAGTGCCGAGTGCAAGCACCAAGTTGCGGCTGGCAGGCTGCCCGAGCCCCCCCATGCGGAGACGGGGGCCCAACGGCAGCTCAACAAGAGAATGAAGCGTTTCCGTCAGTCAGTGCCTGAGTCTCCGGCCTCGTGGCCAGCCATGGCTCCCGGCGGGGTGGAGGGTGCGGGCTGGGCCCCCCGCTAGGGCAACCGATCTTGTCGTGGGCGCTCGATCGATCACGGCAGTGTGGCAAGGATACGCCACCGTGGGGGGTGGCGGTTTCTTGCCCTGGGGCTGCGGCGGTGCTTTCCCCGCCCCTTCCCCGCGTGGCGGGCCGCGCCCGTGCCGGGCGCGTCTGGACCTGGCAGAAGACGCGTTGGCTCCGTTGTCTCTGCCGCCCGCGATGTCTGGATGCCAAGTCCAAGAGTGACCGTGTCGAGGCGAGCTGTCTTGGCAATGCTGCGGCCTTGGCCGAGCTTTCGCTGCAGCTCAACGGTCATGGGCTCAAAGTGCTTGACAGAATGGCAAACGACAGTTTCACTGTTGCATGTCCTGAATGTGGAAGGTATCCCGGGTGTATTCTGGATGGCCTCCACGCGATTCCCCCTTTCGCGTTCGGGCCCACGTTTTCGAGAGGCGCCTACGATCGCCTCCAATAGGGGAGGCATCCCAAGGCTGGGAAGAACAGCCCAGTGATTGCAAGCCCCCGCTATTCAGGTTGAGCATGCGCCCGACCAGCAGGTTGCTGATGCCGATGCCCTCGAGCCGAAATAGCGAAGTCGAACATGTTGTTTTGCCGAATCCGTGCGATGGTCTTGGCCTTCCCGCTCCTCGTTCTCATCTTTCCTCGTCTCTCCCTTCGGTCTGCGCATCCTCCTGTTGATTCGCTGCCTCCTTCTCCAATTTACGCAACACCGTTTTTTTTCGATTGCGCATCATGCTATTCTTTTAGGGGTTCCAGGTCCGCTGTTGCGCCCGTCGATGGACACACGAACACCAGCGCATTGGGAAAGACGGGGGGAGGGGTAGCATGTCAGGTATGGCGCGAGCGCGCCTAGCTCCCTTCTCTCTCATCTCTACGTTTCTCCTCCTCATGATCCTTTTGTTCCTCTTCCCTATTCTTCCTCTACTCCTCTGCGTCTCTACCTGCCTTCCCCCTTTTTCCCCTCATCCTCCTGCTCATCTGTCTGAGGCGAAGACTGCGGCGAACGTTGACATGGCATTCCTCACTGCCGCCCAGAACCTTGTAGAGACCAGGCTTTCTGGGCTGTCGTGCCCTGCCAGTGCGGCACGCCTTCAGGGGAAGGCGGGGGAAGGCATTGTTGAAGGAGGGTAAGGACAGGAAGGGGAGGGCAGGGTAACGGAGAGAGAAGGAAGGGGGTGGGAAGGAAGGGGGTAGCAAGGAAGGGGGAGGGAAGGGTTTGCTTGGGTCGGACCTTCAGCAACGTGCATCGAGAACATAACCTCTGTTGTTTGAGGCACTCCGCCCTTGAAGTGTCTATGGCACTACACTGCGTCAACAAGAACATGGTTACGTGTGTTGGTGGGTTGGGAGGGAGGGAAGCCACAGAGTGCAGAGTTAGGGAGGTGAGGGGCCAGGGATAGGGGGTGGAGGGAAGGGAAGGGCTGCGTAGTCAGAGGGGAGGAGAGGGGAAGGGGGGCGAGGGGAAAGGTTGAGGATCAGGGGCAGGTGATGTGAGTGGGGGGAGGCTGGGAGGAAGGGCAAGAACGGTGATATGGACGATGGTACCGATGCCAACGATGATCATGTTGTCGATGACCACGACAATGTCAGCGACGATGCGGTGCTTGCGACGAGTTGATGGTCAAGGCAACGATTCAAATGACAGTGACGATGATGGCGTGGGTACGACAATGCAGCTCTGATGATGGTGATGATGATGATGATGATGATGTTGCTGATGATGATTATGATCATGATATTGATGTTGATGTTGACAGTGGTATTGATAGTGATGGCGATGGTGCTGCTGATGATGAAGACTATGATGAGGATGATGAGGATGATGTTGACGATGGAGATGGTGGTGACGTTTGTGATGATGATGATGATGATGATGATGATGATGATGATGATGATGATGATGATGATGATGATGATGATGATGATGGCCGTGATGATGAAGATGATGATGCTGATGTTGATTCTGATGAGTATGAGGATTCTGATGATTCTGATGATGACGACAACGAGGACGAGGACGATGATGGCAGGGAGGGCGGTTATTTTGAGGTTGAGCATGCTGGGCAGGGACAAAGCGAAATTGAAGAGGAACACCTCCCCGCCCACCTCCTTCCCCCTCGCCCTCCCCCCTCTCGTTCTGCTCCCCCCTCCCTCCCCCCTCCCTCGCTCTCACACGTTGACCACCACATCTTTTGGATCACATCAGGCATACAACCTTTCCTTGGCTGATTGTTGTGCTGGAAGAAAACCCTCCCTCGCTCCCCCCGCCCCCTCTGAAGGCGAAAGCAGAAGCAACAGCCCAAGCAGAGCGTCCCTCTCAGCGGGGGGCCGCCCCCACGGCTGGGGGCGCCGGGGCCCTCGGATAGGCCTGCCCGCGCGCCGCTCGCTCCCCTCGTCGTCGACGTGGAGGGGGAGGGGGGCTGGAGGACATGTGAACGGGGATGGGGGGAGGCGGGGAGGGGGGTGGAGGGAGGGACAGAGTGGGGGGCCGAAGGATGGGAATGGTGGATGGGGTTGGGTGGGGGTCGGACGGAAGGGGGGGAGATGGAGGATATGGGGGAGGAGGCCGTGTTGCGCGCGGCCCCGGCTCCGGTACGCCTGCGTCGCTGCGGCTGCTGTTGCGCGGTTCGGTTTCCCTTTTTGGGCGTTCGTCGCATGGGAGGGGTTTCGCGCCGGCAGGTCGGAATGACAGGTTCTGGTCGGACGACAGGTCAGAGGCGACGATGGGGGCGAATAGCCCAGGGGAGAGAAATTCAGGTACTCAGGCGCGCCGATGATCTATGTTTTCGAAGAGGCTCCCGGGCGAACACGTGTAATGCCCGCCCCTGGGCTATGCGCCCCTTTCGTCGCTGCCGAACACTACCAGCCTGGAACATATCCCTATCCCTGTGCTGGGCATCTCCTCATCAGGATGCCAATCTTAGGGATTCCCTTATTTTTTTGAGGGCGCATGCCTATGTCATCGCTTTTTGGCGTGTCAGTCTTAGGGATAGGGATAAGTTCGAGGCTGGTAAGAACAGGGGGGGACTCGGGACGGGGGGGGGGCTCGGGGGGGCGAAGTCTGCTGCCTGTGGCTGGTTTCGGGCCCGCCGCCCCACACATGCTTCGACGCTCGGCCGCCCTCCGGCATCGCGGGGCCCGTCCTCCCTGCCGCCCAGCCCGAGAAGGTCGGAGGCTGACGGACCTCCTACCCTGACGCGTCTCGCGAGAGGGCGTCGCGGCCGTCATTTTTTGCGGGTCCGGGTCCGTCGGTTTCGGTCCCAGGCCGTTTTGCACCACAGGGTGGTTTACGAAAGGGAGGTTTGTCCACCGCCACCGTCGAGAAGGGGGGGGGTGAGGAGGGTGGGGATTGGACCGATTCGGCGGCAGGAGGAAGCGTCATGCCCCGCAGGGCCGTCGAGGACGAGGAGGGGAGGATGTAGGATGAGAGGGGCGGTGGGGAGGACGACGAGTGGGGGGCAAGGGGCGGGAGGAGGAGGGGCGCTAGGACTAGAACACGGGAGAAAAGCTGTACGTAGGGGGCTCAGCGTGTCGCAGGGTGACCTCCCTGGGGTCACCAGGGTGGTGGGAGGGGGAGGTTGAGGAGGAGAATGAGGAAGAGAAGGATGAGGCGACAGGAGGAGGGAGAACGGATGATTGGAAGTAATGCCGTTTGAGGACCGAGGTTCTCGATGACACCCTAGTCGGCGGATGGAAAACCGTTCAGCGCAATGGGACTTGATGAGTCGGATGGGGTAGGATGTCAGATATTGCGGGATCGCACCCCCCTCGCACCGTTTCCTCTCCCCTTCGCCCTGTCCCCCTCAACTCCGCCTCGCCACCAACCCCTTCGCTTCCTTTCCTCCTCCCCCCTTCATCCTCCACCCTTCCCGCCTCGTCTTTCAACCCCATGCCCTTTCTCGCCTCCCCTTTGTCTCCCCCACCTTCGTGCCATTCTCTTCCCCAAGTCCTTCTTATTCAGTGATCTCGGAGTGGCGCTCGAGGTCACACCGCATTCGTGTACGATGTGGAAAGTGTTCGAAGCGTTGCCAACGCCTCCCCTCCCTTCTGTACTATTCCGTTTCCCCCGTGGTTAGCAAAACGTGGCCATTCCCATGTTGTGTCGTTCATGGGAACAGCTGAGCACATTCACCCACCGCTTGCCTTCCCCTGCCTCCCTGTCCCACTCGCCCGTCTGCACCACCAAGTCCCAGTCCATCTTGATCATCACGTTACCTCGTATGTTTCTGCCTCTCTCTCTCTCTCTCTCTTTCTGTGTACATGCTCCCCTATTCCCCATCATTATACTGCGGATCGCCCCTCTATCGCAGACGTGTCTGTTCGTTTCTCCCGTACAGCGATTTCCTCTTTCCAGATCCTTGCATGCATTTGCACATTGTTGGGCCTGTGCCGAAGCCGACGAACAAGGTTCTCACTTGCTGTCCCGTCCTCCTACATCGCCGTACTGGTATGCCGCGTCGCATTGCCGCGCAGGGGAAAGTGCGCTTGCGGTGGCGGTCGCTGAGGGAGCTTATCAGCGGTAGGCACTGGGGTCTCCATACAGCTGCTCCTGCCACGCCCCCTCCGCGCTCGTTTGTCATGCTCCTCCTCGCTGTGCTGCCCGTGCTGATTGTTTGCGATGCATGAGCTTCCTGTGTTTGTTTCCCCACGTTCTCTCTCTCTTTCTCTCTCTCTCTCTCTCTCTCGTTTTTCTCTCTCTCTCTCTCTCGCTCTCTCGTTGTCTTTCTCTATTCGCGTTCTCTCCATTCACATTCCTCTCTGTCTCACTCTCCTACAGATGCGTGCAGGTTTGTTTCGTGTACTTCCACATCTCTCTCTCTCTCTCTTTCTCTCCCATCCCTCTCCCTCTCCATCTCCCCCTCTCGCAACACACACATATATATACACATATATACATATATATATATATATATATAATATATATATATATATATATCGGAGGGTGAGGGAACATGAGGCGGATGAGGAGGAGGAGGAGGAGGAAGGAGGTAATCCTCCACATACGGATTCCCATTGAAATCTCCCACATACATATCCTAATGAAACCCTCCGCAGAAGTATTCCTATTTAAACCCTTCGCAGAAAGAGTCCGATAGAACTCCTCCATCGAAGGGTTCGTGTTGAAAACTTACACAACAAGGATACCTAGGCGGATGAGAAGGAAGAGGAGGAGGAAAATTAGGCGCATGAGAAGGAAGAGTGTGAGGAGGAATCTGAGGCAGATGAGGGTGAGGGGGAGGAGGGGGGAGAAGATCCTCAACAAAAGGATTCCTAGTGACCGATTGCAACGCAATCGATTGGATTGCAATGAGCCGCGAAAAATTGCAGTCGCGTCGCATCGAAGCGTTTGGAATGCAACTCTTTGGCTTTCCTTCGAGTCGGTGCCAATCCCTCGGCGTGCAATGTATTTGGTTACATCGGTTTATATTGCAATCGACAATGTTGCGGCTGGCAACGTAGGAAACCATGATGAAGAAGAGCAGGAGGAGGGAAGGGAGAGGGAGGACGGGAGGGATCAAGGGAGAATGTGTATGATCATGTGGGGGTGGGGTGGGGGGGGGGCGAGCATCTATATATATATATATATATATATATATGTATATATATATAGATACAAACACCTACATGCATACAGATGTGTATGTAGGTGTGTGTGCTCGCCCCTGTCTTTATGTGTCATCTCTCTCTTCCTTTCTGTATTTTGTTCTCTTTCTCTGTCTCTCTCTCGTGCACGGCAGTTTGGTCGCCCTCATTACACGCCCTTCCCAGTGTGCAGATGCATACGGGACTACAGCTTGCAACATCCACCACATGGCATCAAACACGGAATATGTTGCATAGTTTTAATCGAATAGATAACACCAACAATAACATCCCATATTGCGAAGGCGTTACGTTTTGTGCCGCCTACCCTGAAGGCGGGAGTTCCCCCAGCAGCCCCGCTGGCGAATCCCCCCCGGGACCCGCCGGGACCCCAGGGGGGGGGGGCAGTTCTCTGACCCGGGACCCCACTACCCGCCCCCCCCCCGCCCCCCGCCCCACCCGACTTCACCTTCCCCCACGCCCCCTCATCCACGCCTTCCCCGTGAGGACAAGGAAAACAGGAAGATCATCTATTTGACTACAACGACAACGACGACAAAAGCGACGACGACTCAAACGGACAAGTTTCTTACACACGCCGAAGGGCCAGCGGATTTCGCATCGCACCACGCGGCGTTCACCACATAGGTCGCACCACGTAGCTCATCACATCTAGCTTGCACAAATAGCCTACACCGTGTTACCATAGCTCGCGCAGCATATCGTATCCCACATAGCTTGCACCAAGTGGATTGCGCCACATAGCTTATACCACATGGCTTAGACCATACATATATATATATATATACGAAACCACATAGAGCCTGAACCCCACAGCTTTCTCCAATAGTTTATAGCCAATAGCTTCCACCACATGGCTTACACGACGTAGCTTGAATCACGCAGATTGCACCACATTGCTTACACCACATGCCTTTTACCGCTGACGTTGCTCCTCATAGCTTACACCACGTATCTTTGACTGTGTAGCGTAATCCACCTTGTTTGCACATGTTGCACCACATAGCTCGCACATGCAGACCAGAGGGCAAGGCAATGACACTTTGTTTTGGGATCGACGTTGGCCCCCTTCTCTCCGACGTAATTGGGTGGTTCCAGGTTGTTGCTCGTACTGGGTGGTGTTCTCGGGTTCCCGCCATGTGCCCGTCTGTGAGCGCCTCGTGGTCGTCTCGTGCTGGGTGTTAGCTCCTGGTTCTTTGCGCTGGGTGCCCGCCGCGGGGTGGCTCGTGCTGGGTGCCCGTCGGCGCTACGCCACACAGCTTGCACCACACAGCTGGCATCACTTCACACAGCTTGCACCACACAGCTTGTGCCACACAGGTTACGCCGCACATGCTACACTGCATGGGGTACACATACCTAACGCCACATAGTGGGCCCCACACAGCTTGCAACACATAGGTTACACCGCACAGCTTCCACCGCATGGCTTGCATCACGCTGTTTTCACCGCGTAGAATACACCTGGATTGAGCTACGTTGCGTTGGACACAGAGGTTGCACCATAGACCTTGCACCAAATAGCTTGCATCACGCAGCGTGCCCCAACCAGAGTGCAACAATTAACCGCTGGCAAACATGTAGCATCATGCACCTCTACACTCGCCCTGCCCTTCTGACCCATCTCTCTCATGTCCTGTGGCCTGACGCCGCTGCAGTTGTTTCCGCATGTACATGTAAACTTCCATGCATCCACACAATGTCCCTTCGGCTAGTCTACCGAGCGTGTCTCCACCGAGCCGGTCCTTTCCACGGCTGCATCCGTTCCATGGTTGTCCATTAGGTCTATCTCCACCGGTCCCCACCGATAGTGCAGCTTCCACCCCGTAGGTGGCCGTGGTTTCACGACTCCCCGCACGTCCGTCGCGTCTGCTGCATTGGCGCTGCTCTCTCACGGCATCTCCTCTATCTTCCTCTTTTTGTTCCTCCTTGTTCTTTGCAATGGCTCGGCTAAGTTCTCCGAGCGAGCGCTGAGCCGGGCGCAATCCTGGAGGGACATCGCTCTTGGAGGGTTCCGATCCGGGGGTGTCCAGGCAGAGGGGGATAGGACGTTTTGCAGATTCGTGCGGTGTCGACACGGCGGCGACCCCAGCTCGGGCGATCAAGTTTGCACGCCGCCAGTGACCTGGAACAGCCCGATGTCGAACGATTTGCGCGAGCGATCGCGCAAGATTGACCGATCCACGCGGGGTCAGAAACCAACGTTGAAGTCGTCACGACACGAACAGGCCGTACCCTGTTCCCTCAATGTTCGTTGTCGGCGTCCGATGTGTATCCACGTCATATTTACAACATATTCTCCAACGTTGCAGATGGTCATTGTGTTCGGCTCTTTGGCTGGGGGGAAATTACCATCTCAAAAGTTCGAGCTGGCTTCCCTGGGAAGTGGTTGCAGTCAACCCCCCTGTTTTCGTTTCAGGTCTGTTGGAGACGCGATGTGAGCGCCGTGTGCTCTTGATCCCATCCAGGGGCCAGTGGTTCGGGGCCAGTCGTTTTCCTTCATATCCCGTGTATGGGGTTCTTCTCACGCTTCCACCTTCTTACCTCCAGTCTCCATTTTTCAGTCAAGCTGAGGTTATGTCAGATTCGCTCAGGTGCGCTGACACTCAGACCCATTTGCTATGGGACTCACTCATTCTCTGATTCACTCACTTTCGGACTCACACTCAGATCACTCGTTGTCAGATTCAGATTCTCTCGCAACAAGACTCGCCCCACATCCAGACTCACTCACACTCAGACACACACACACACACACACACTTTTTCGGTCGTCGCGGGTGGGCGACTCGTCACACCGTCCGACTCGCGCGAGGGAAGCCGCGTGAGCACCCGGTAGTCAGAAGATGCCAGCGGCTGGAACGGCGGGAAAGCAAGGCAACCGCCAAGCCGGCTCAGGCCAGCAGGACAAGGGAAAGGGGGGTCAAGCAAAGAGTGGGAGGAGCGAGGAGCGAGGAGCGACGGCGGACAGCCGAGGGAGGCGGGCCGACGGACGGGGGAGGGGAAGCCGAGGGGAAGGAAGGGGATACCACACACACAAGGGGAAGCGAGGCGCCGGGAGGGGAAGGAGCCAGCCGAGGAAGGAGGCTAGGGGAAAGAAGGAGGCACAGCACACGGGCACGGGGGCGAGAGGAGGGCCCACAGGGCGGCTGGAGGCCTGTCAGGCGGGCAGCGCACGCGGAGGCCGTGCCTGGGCAGAGGGGGGCGGCGGGGAGAGGCGGGGACGACGACGACGACGACGACGACGACGACGACGACGACGACGACGACGACGGCGACGACGACGACGACGGGAGCAGAACGGAGCGAGGAGGACGGCAGACGAAGAGAGGCACACGGCGTTGCCGGGCTGGCTGTGGGGCGCGCGGGTGGCCCTGCCTCCACGGGGAGCGGACTGCCCCCCGCCAGGGGGGGGCAGAGAAGGGCGCTCGCAGCGCCAGAGGGGTGGGGTGTGCGGATGCCCCTCGCGCGGGGGGCGGCGAACCCCCCGCTGAGGGGACTGGGGCAAGAGCGCTCGGAGCATCTGACATCCTGGTCAGAGTCGGTGCGGCGGGGAGAGGAGGGGAGGTCGACGACGACGATCAGCACCACGGCGGGGAAGAAGACGAGGAGGGGAGGAGGCCCGGCGGCAGATTACGCCATAGCGGGCCTGCACGAAGAAAGAGTGCGCTCGCAGGATCTATGTGTAAAGGAAACGCAAGCAGAGAAGGACGAGCAGGGGGGAAAGGCGGGGAGAGGGGAAAGGCGGGAAGAGAAGGACGAGCAGGGGGGGAAAGGCGGGGAGGGGGGAAAGGCGGGGAGAGGAGGACGAGCAGGGGGGAGAGGCGACGAGGCATGAATGCTGTCAAGGAAACGCGCGCGTGTGGCAGGGAATGAAAGCGAGAGAGCCCCAGCTTCAGCGATCCTGCGCATGCTGGCGGGGGGCGGGGACCAAAAGGCGGAAGCGCGGGAGCCCCTTCCCGCCCCCCTGTTGGAGGAGGGCCCGAAGGCGGGTGCGCGGGAGCCCCGTCCCAGCCCGGCAGTTGCCGCGAAGATAAAATGGATGGTGAGCCCATATCGCTCGAAAGAGAAGGACTTTCGCGAGAGCAGGAAATGAAGGCGGTCACAACCGAGCACGCAGCACAGATGCCGGCGAGGTTGAGCACACTGCAGGGGACCGGTGATAACGACGGAACGATGTCAACCGACAAGACAAGTCCATTGAGCTAATGCAACATAAGTCTACAGCACGGCGAAGCCGTGGCCGTGAGATAAGAACATGCGTTCTGAATAATGATGCAAAAAAGCTTGCTGACATTGAACCAGCGTGCAACCAATCGACATCAAGCTGCAAGTCGAGCGCAGACACAGTGCACAGGACATACTCGGCGAGGCAAAGCCGTAGCCGTGAGATAGACCACACGCACGTTTAATAATAATATAATAATACGGGTAATCATAATAATGATGATACGAATAACAATGCGATGATGAACGTGCGGTGAAATCATTAGTTGGCAAATCGCGGAGAAATATCCAAGGCCGAGCACTGGGAATGCACAAGTGGAAACAACAACAATGCCGCACTACTCCAAAACTTTTGATTCGTTCGGTCACATCGTGCAGACGTTACCCACCGCGAAGCTGAGCAGCAGCCGTGATATCACAACATGCGCGCTCAAGAGCAATGCAACATATAGCCCACGGACATCGAATCAGCACACCAACAATCGATTTCAAGCTGCAAATCAAGCGCACACACATAATATAACATATGTTCACAACGAAGCAGGGCCGCAGCCGTGATATAACTCAAGAAAGTACGTTTCAACATTTTGCAAACGACAGTCACATGTACCGAACAGAGAAAATATTTGCGAGCACAACTCGCGGAGAAGGCAGCTATCATTCGGAATATCTGATTGTACGTTGTGATGCGTGATTTGTACGCACACCTTTGGGGTGGTGGCGGCCAGGCTGTTGGCGTAATCCTGAGGCGACCTGTGTTGACGTTCGGCTGCAGCGGAACGGGAAGAGTGCACCTTCCGAGTCCCCTGACCCCGTGCGCCTGAGCCTCGGGATGGCCAGCAGGCTGTTCTCGAGCAGCATTGGCCAAGTCATCTGGAGTCGTGACGATCGACACGGCGGTGCTGATGCCCGCGAAGCAGCACTGGCTGGGGCAGGTGAAGACATAGGCGAACGGCTCGGCGGTACAGTACCGCCGAGCCGTTCGCCTATGCCTTCGCTCCAGGCACGGCGGCGCCTCGCTCCAGGCACGGCGGCGTCGGCGTCGGCGCTGCGCGCGCGCAGAGGCCGCGGCAGCCCACGTCGGAGTACCAGCACGGCGTGTCCTCGAAGCGACATTGGCTGGGGCAGCTGGGGTCGTCGACGGCTGGCTCGGCGGTGCTGATGACCTCGCAGAAGCATTGGCTGGGGCAGCCGGAGTCGTAGACGATCGGCTCGGCGGTTGTGATGCCCGCGAAGGCATTGGCCGGAGCAGCTGGAAACGTAGACGATCGTCGCGGTGGTGTTGATGCCCTCCACGCGCTTTTCGCAGCCTACGTTGCAGTATTGGCACGGCGTATCCTCGAAGCAGCATTGGCCGGGGAAGCTGCAGCCGTGGACGATCAGGTCGGCGGCGTTGATGCCCACGAGGCCGCAATGGCTGGTTCCGCTAGAGTCGTAGAGGATGCGGCGCAGGCCAGGGCAGCTGGAGACGTAGACGGTCGGCTCGGTTGATGCCCTCGATTCGGCGCTCACCCGGGCAGCTGGAGACGCGGGCGATCGACGTGGCGGTGTTGATGCCGTCGCAGCAGCTTCGGCCAGGGCAGTTGGAGTCGAAGACGATGGGTACGGCGGTGTTGATGCCCACGCGGGCGGAGACGTAACCTCTAAAGGTCTAGTTTCTCTCCCCCCTTGTTACTCTCGTTGGCTAACAGACTCGCCCCTCCTCCTCCTCTTGCTGCTCCTCCTCCTCGTCCTCCTCTTCCGCATTCGGGCCAAGGAGGCGGCCACCCAGTGAGAAGGCGGATCATCGGGATGTTTTGCCTCAGGCGTTCGGGGCCTCCTCTTCCTCCTCCTGCTCTTCCTCCTCCTCCTCTTCCTCCTCCTCCTCCTCCTTTTCCTCCTCCTCCCCCCCTCTCTTCCTGCTGATCCTCCTCCTGCTCCTCCTTGCGTTCGTTATCGTAGTCGTCGTCGTTGTCGCGGCGGAGAACAGTTTCCTTCTTTTGTTGGGTGGGCTGGATAACGGTGGGGGGCCTTCTCCCAAGGAGTAATCGCTTGTTAGATTTGGTCAATTATGGCAGCACGACCGCCATGGAATCTCAAAAACAATCTCCCCGCGAAGTACCGCGAATCCTCAATCTCCAAAAAACTCCCCGCGAATATCCAAAACATCTTCGCTCCTAAAATATTCCGGCAAATCCCCAAAACGCGCCCGCGCCTAAAAACTAGTCGGCGAAGCTCCTACAACTCTTTGCGCTTCAAAAATCTCCAATGAAACCTCAGCAGGCAATTTTCTGAAGGCTTGCCGGAAGTGTCCCGGAGATTCTCGCACGCCGGAGATATTCCAGAGATTTGCTGAAGGTTTCCTGGAGATTTGTCTAAGATTTCTGCATGCCAGAGATTTGCCAGAGATTTTCGGGAGATTGCTGCGCGAAGGAGATGTTCCAGAGTTTTTTCCCAGAGATTTCATGTGTAATACCCGGAAAGTTTGTGGAGACCTCCGCCGAGATATAAGAGCCCGGAGACTTTCCAGAGATTGTGCGAATGCCTAAAATACGATTTAGGTGATTTCCCCATGGTTTTTCGTCCAGAGGGCTCCGGTCGTGTTTGCCATATTGACCCAATTTTCAATGTTTTGTTGGCTGCCAGGAATCAGCTGTTGTGGTTGCAATCGTGGTTGTAGTCGTGGTTGTACTTGTGACTGGAATCGTGATTGTACTCGCGATTGTAGTCGCAATCGTAGTCGCGATCGTAGTCGCGAGCGTAGTTGTAATCGCAGTCGTAGTCGTAATCGTCGTCAT